CTGGGACAAATGTAGATGACTAAGCCTTCGACACGCTAGCACTGATTCGGACGGCACGTGTCAACGGGCCAACTCCGGCAACACGTGAAAGATGTCCATGTCATCTTCATAATTCGACAACACCAATGCTTTTGCTGTCGGACCACCCTAGAGATGACGCGCGCATTTTATACCGCCTTTATTCCAGGGCTTCATCGTACTGTACGAAGTACCTGCATATTTTATCTGGGCAGCCGCTTGGACTGCGTTCTTGAAACAGCACTACCTCGGAATACAACTAAAGATCGTACGATAGTCTCAACCCAATGGTGCTCTACTCGACCAAGTCTTCCTCATCCAAGCAAAGCTTGGTATCGCGTCATGGTCACCTATCTAATGAACGATCGACTGCCGGAATGGAATAAGATAGCTGATGAATGCTGATGACGACGCTGTCGAGCTGATGCTGAGCCGGGCACGGTAACGATCAACTGCCATCTCGTGGTTCACACGCTCGGATAATGTAGAAAAGGGTCTCGATGACGTCGTACAGGCGGGTCGTGCAGGGGTTGGGAGGTGCACCGAAAATCCGGGGGACCATCTCCACTCCCAACCCCTAAGGCTCACAAAGCTTTCCCTGTGTCTCTCACAACTCGTACATTTTCCTTTGTTAGAACGCGTTTTGTTATTCCCAGCAGTGGCAGATTCTCAGCATACCATCCAGGTTTCTACGCGACAGTAGCTGGGCGCGTCTTACGCCACCTCGGATAGCTCCGCACCCCTGAAGCCCGAGTCGCGATGCCTGTCAACACCATCTCTGTGGGCGCGGCTGTGACGCCCACGGTCATCCAGACATATCTCTCGCATTATCTCAATCGCCGACCGCTTGCGCAAAAGCCCACGGCGCACATCTCGTATCACGAAGGCCTCGAGCTCATCCGCCGCTTTCTCCACTACGCCTCCTTCCACACAGTCGACGAGCTACAGGCCTTCACGTCGCAATGGGTTCCCGTGCCGCGCTGGGTGCACGTGAATGTAGTCGAGGTTTCCGCGACTCTACTACAGCGCTCATCTGAACTCCTCAATGCACAATTGGGGCCTGAAGGCATCAAGGCAGTCGGAGGAACGAATTGGTGGCAGTGGAGACGCGAAGGCACAACACTCAAGGCCGAGTGGATCGAGATGCGCAAGGACTACGACGCGAGGAAGCAGCTGGCAATCACCAAAGGCGACCGCATTATGCTCTATGTCCATGGCGGCGCATACTTCTTTGGCAGCGTCGACGAGCATCGCTATCAGATGCAGCGGCATGCGCGCAAGCTCAAGGCCAGGGTGCTGGCGCCCAAATACAGACTCGCGCCTCAGTTTCCCTTCCCATGTGGTCTGCATGACTGTAAGTGGTTTCCTCGATGTCGAAGGAGAAGTACTAACCCCTCCAGGTCTGGCCGCCTACCTCTACCTCCTCGAACAGAAGCACGACCCTACGACGATTATACTTGCTGGCGACTCGGCAGGTGGCGGCATGGTACTCAGCATGCTCGTGACAATGCGCGACCAAGGCATACCCTTGCCCGCAGGAGCCATCTCGATCAGTCCATGGGTAGACTTGACACACAGCTTCCCTAGTCTGGGTGGCGATGGCAAGATGGACTACATTCCCTCGCACGGCTTCATCCACAAGCCAAGCATGAGCTGGCGTAAGTTAGTCGTGATAGTATCGACGAGCTACTACTGACCACATGCAGCACCTCCCAACGCAGACGATATGCTGGACATCGAAACGTCCCTCAACGGCTCGACCAAGAAGAAGAACAGTTCAGACAAAACGGAGGACAAGGCAGCAAAGAAGGAGGCGGAAGCTGAGCGCGTACGAGGCTACTCCGTCCAATCTGGAGATCGACCACCTCTTGAAGAGGTAGCGGATCCATCAGCTACAGGACAAGGCATGGGTACTTGGATCTCGTCCAATGGCAAATACAGCATTGGACCCAAGAGCCAGCTATCAGTTCAGCTCGAAGATGAACGCGTCGAGATCAAGGACCAGATCCAGATGTACGCCCCGAATCATCTCTTGACACATCCTCTGGTATCGCCGGTGCTGCAGCCAACACTCGGAGGGCTACCACCTCTCCTCATCCAAACGGGAGGTGGGGAGCTACTCAGAGACGAGCAGATTTACCTCGCCCACAAAGCCGCGCAACCGCTGGCCTACATACCACCACCTTCCAACAACCAGACTGCTGAGTCCATACAAGCTCAGGCCGCCAGCTACAGGCCTACGAACGTTCAGCTCCAGGTCTGGGATGATCTATGCCACGTTGCGCCCACGCTCAGCTTCACCCGCCCAGCAAAGCACATGTACCGTAGTATAGCCCAGTTCGGTGCTTGGGCGCTTGCACGCGCCCAGAAGAAGTCCATCGACATCCTCGACGATGACGACATCTCCTTCATGAGCAGTGATTCAGGCACTTCGTCTGAATCTGACAAGGCGGGCTCCGGCTCTTCGTCAGACGACCCCAAGTCCGCGGACAAACATCCCAAACCCACAAAAGCCGAGAAGAAAGCCGCTCAAGATGCACGCGTTGGCCGAGCTGGTGACGCGATCCCTCCCTTCGAGCGCCATATGATCCGCCAGCGCATCGATCGACACGGGCGCATCTATGCACTCGTTCCGAAGGAGGAGCTTGTTGCACTGAACATCCCTAGCGTTGACGTGGGCGTGCCAAAGACAGGACCCGTCAGCAAATGGATGAAAGCGCAATCTCAGTGGAACAACAAGTTCTCCAAGCAGAAGATCAAGATCCAGAAGCAGCGTATTAAGGATATGCAAAAAGGCTTCGAAGGCTTCGAGGGAGAGACACCCCCACCGACCGCCTTGGCTGGTAGAAGGATCAAGGGCATGAAGGCCGAGAAGGCGAAGAAGAGGAGTTGGGGTATGTCGATGTGGGCTGGATGGGGCAGTAAGCATGACTCAGCCACTGTAAGTGCAGTCACTCTCAACGTCAGCCATGACAACGTTACTAACACGCCCCAGATCGTCCGCGAAGAAAAGGCAGACCAGAACCCCGACGTCGAGACCTCCACCTCCGCCCCAGACCCCGCCAACACCCCCACCGACGGCACAATCGAAAGCGCGCCAACCCGCAGCCGAGCCAACAACCTCACCACCCCAGCCGTAAAACGCTCACGCTCCCACTCCCGCCACTCCGCCGTTACCGACAAAGGCCAAACCGGCCTTCCCCTAGACGACCTCTCTAAAATCGTCCTGCCCACCCCTGGCCTCGCCGACGCGACAACCCTCGCCCCAGAACGCTCTGCCTCGCCCCTCCCCTCCCCTACTAGCGAACTCAGCTCCCCCGATATCGGTATGGGTATGGCACCCAACATAATCGTCTCGGACAACCCCGACAACTCCAGCACCATTATCCCCGAAACAGATACCCTGACTACCCGACCCACGGCTGGCGGTATCGCATACCCGTTTAGTTTGAAAGTTGATGGCCCGGATGGGAGGGATGTTAATGCTAGTACGCTTACGCTTGCGAGTGTGAATGTTAGTACGCCGCCGGCTGGGGATGGGGATGAGGGGGAGAAGGGATTGGGTAGTTCGGTGATGGGGGGTGAGAGTAGTATGGTGCCGGGGGGTGAGAGTGAGAGTGTGAATGAACAGGTTTTGAAGGAGGAGAGGCCGGGTGTTGAGCGCTTCTTTACTGCTGGGGCTGGGGCGGGGCTGTTTAGTGATGGTGTGGTGGAGGAGAAGGAGGAGAAGGTGGAGAAGGTGGAGAGGCCGGGGGTTGAAAGGTTTGAGACTGCGATGGATGGGTTGGGTATGGGTGCTGCTGGTGATGGTGGGAAGGTGTGATGGTTGCGGCTGGGCGGAGAGGTGGGGACAGATTGAGGGAATTTGGAAGAAGACGTGACAATACTGTAGATACCCAATTTTTTCCTTATTGTAAGTAATCTTAATACAAACGTACACATTTTATCGCATGCACATGAGTTTGTGGAGCTAGACGAGCCCGTACATGCTACTGTAGTTGGTGTATCGACGGATACCCCGATCCCGCAGAGAGATGAAAGCGGAGATCTGGTGTTCGAGCAGCTCGAGGTCAAGGCCGGAACATTGATCCTAATGCATGGAAATCTTGTGCATACTAGTGAAGCCAACAAGAGTGGAAAGAGCCGTGTCGCATTCAACTTTGGCGTGGTTGAGGGGACGCACGAGTGGTTAGTAAATAACTATTTGCAGCCTTACGAGGGTGAGATGGAGTTTGAGCGGCTTCATGCTTGCTGATGAAGGTGTGCACGTCGGCGTATGCCGAAGCCAAAATTGATAACATACAGACGTGTATGGGTGGAGAGGTGGTAGCGATAATCAGGATGCATTCCGTCCAAGGTTGATGTAGAGGAGTATTGCGAGTGATTGGTGTGATGACGGCTCCCAGCTCAGGATTCGTGGCTGATGACGCAACCGTGCATGATGGAGCGTGCTCAACATACACTTCTGATGCTCATCAACGCATCTGTCTGGACGCATACAAAAGTCTCTATCCTATTCAAACTGTTTTTAACAATTGACCCAGGAGATTTTCGCAAAGTCGGCATTGATGCAGTGAATAGACGCAAGACACAATAGCTCCAGGGGGTGGGGTAGCTCTTGCCTGCCAGACCTGAACGCGCACCTTATCCACGAGACATCAGGCACAAAATTCTCAATCACGCTGCATGGTGTGAAGTATTGATAGGTGGAAGGTATAGAAGGACACTGTTTCGCTTGCTCTTCTTTGCTGCATGTGCGTTGGCTATACCCGATCACTAATCGCACCTGCCGTCTTCTGAAGAGCGGGCGCGCATACCCCACCAGATCTCACGGATACTTTCGCTTTGTAACCACAAGATGACCCAGACCACACCCCATGCGCGCTCATGGTCAGAGCAGACTATACATGATACCTGCAACTGGAGTTATGGCAACCACCAAGGGACTATCACGTTGTCAAGCATGCGCGAGGCCGCACGCGATGGCTGCACTCGATGTCAGCTACTTCTTGACGGAATTGAAAGGTACACATTCTCTCCTTACCGCCCTCATCGGACCACCGAGGCCACTCTCAGCGAGTATGAAACCGATCCTGGTCTCGAACTCAGAGTCTCGGTCTTCAACAATAAAAAAACACCTTTGCAAGTAACAGTCCAATATACCGGCATGTCAAGTAAATCGGGGAGTTTGCCCATGGAGCTATGTTTCTACACTCATCCTGGTCAGTCTTTCATAGCAGGATATGCGACGCCTTCACATGCACTAATCGTGCCCAGACAAGCCACCCTACTTCTGCGACGTTCAGACAGCAGGCCATGTCCCGGCTGACCCAACATCCCAAGGTTGCGTCAGCACAGTCAAGGAATGGATCCGACGCTGCGACGAGCTGCACCCACGATGTCTTCCCAGACGAGACGCATCAACGACACCAACGAGGCTCATCTCGGTCGGTTCAAGCTCGAATGAGATCAAGCTGTGCCGCTCGAGCGAAGTGCCAGCCGACGCTCGTTACGTTGCCTTGAGCCACACATGGGGAGTAAAAGAAGAGCGCAAGAAAGCCATGCCCTTGCTCTTGAAGGAGAACCTTTCTGCTAGAGCTTTTGGCATACCTTGGATCGAGCTCACTCAAACGTTTCAGGACGCTATCATCATCACCAGGAACATCGGCATTCCATATGTTTGGATCGACTCCTTGTGCATCGTGCAAGACGACCGGGATGATTGGGCGAAAGAGGCTGCTCGTATGGCATCTGTATACAAGTACGCCTACTTAGTCATCGCTGCGACAAGCTCTAAGAACGGCGACGATGGTTGTCTTCGTTCAAGAGAGCCCAGCCTCGACTTAACTGGCTCACTCAACGAGAGCTTCTACGTACAACGAGAGATATCCCACCGCACGATCATCGAGTGGCAAGCAGAAAGTATCGCAATGCCTCTTCTAGACCGAGCATGGTGTTTCCAAGAGCGACTACTCGCCTCTCGGATCCTGCACTATACCGAAAACGAAATGATGTGGGAGTGCCAAGAAGAGCTCTGGTGTGAATGCCAACTCATCAAATTCGACAATCCATCCACAACGAAACTGGAAACGTTCAAGCTCGCTCATGCCGCAGCTGTAGCTTCGACAAACCCTGAGATACGCGCAACGTCGTGGCACAAGGTCGTTCGAGAATACTCACAGCGGGCATTGACATTCGGGACCGATCGACTTCCCGGTATCTCTGGAATCGCTAGAGAAATTGCGGTACCCGAGCTAGGCAGATACCTAGCCGGGTTGTGGGAATGTGAATTCCCCGGGGCACTTTTATGGTCATCTGTAGGTGGAGTCGTCGACAGACCAGACGTACTCCCACGACCTGCACAATGTTCGGCGCCCACATGGTCTTGGGCCTCTATCATCTCCGCAGTGAGAATAGATCAAGTGTCGATAGCCAAGTCAACAGTTATAGTCTGTCGGGTGGTCGACGTAACATGTACCCCAAAAACTGCCGACGTTTATGGACAGGTGGAAGTTGGGCGGTTGAGGATATCCGGACCGACTATAGCAGCGACCCTCAAGCGCACAGATCGTAAATACGAAGCCAGCCGCTACGACGTTCGCTTGGAAACCTCGGATCTTGTTCCGCCAGGAAAGAAAGCAGACGTGGATTTCACGAGCGATATCGAACTGACGGAATCCGCTGTAAGCGTGATCATCTTGCTTATACAGTGCCGAACTATCGAAGCTATGCGTGGTCTAGCTGAAGGTCTCGTACTGGTACCGTCGAAGATACACACTGGATGTTGGGAGAGAATAGGCAAATTCTCCGGATGGGGACTAGAGCTGTCCCAATTGAAGGAGACTGAACTGGTCATTGTGTAGCAGTCCCACTTCGGAGATAACATAACCCCGCATGACATCACCTCGGCATCCCCAAAGAGAACATCACGACCTCCTCTCCTTCCACTTCTCGTAAACAATCATCTTCAAGCACTCAAAATGTCCATATTCCGCCCCTCCGCCCACGCCCTTATAACAGGCGGCGCATCCGGCGTCGGTTACGCCGTCGCCCAACTCTGCTTGAAACACTCAATGCGCGTCTCCATCGTCGACTTTAACCAATCCTCTCTCGATATCGCGCGCAAAAACCTCTCCGGCGATGTTAAATGCATCCAAGCAGATGTCTCCTCCCGCTCAGACTGGTTGTCCATCCGCCAGCAAGTCGGCACCGACGTTGACTTTCTGATGCTAAACGCCGGCATTGGCGGGAAAGGAACGTGGGGCGACGAAGACTATTTTGACAAGATCCTCGCTACGAATCTGGGAGGTGTGGTAAATGGGTTGAATGCGTATGTTCCGAGTTTTAAGGAGAGGGCAGGGGAGGGGAAGAGTGCGATTGTGATTACGGGAAGTAAACAGGGTATTACGAACCCGCCTGGCAATCCAGCGTATAATGCTAGTAAGGCGGCTGTGAAGACCTTGGCTGAGCATTTGAGCTATGATCTCAAGGATACGGGTGTTGGGGTGCATTTGTTGGTTCCGGGGTGGACGTTTACTGGGCTTGTACGTCGTGTTGCTCTTGTTCATCGGCAACAACTAACGCACATCACAGTCTGGGAACGAGCCGGGCTCTACCAAGGCCAAACCGGAAGGTGCGTGGTCAGCCGACCAGGTCGCTGACTACATGTACACCAAGATGCAAGCCAAGAAATTCTATATCATCTGTCCCGACGACCAGGTCACGGAGGAGATGGACAAGAAGCGCATGTTGTGGAGTGTTGGGGATATCGTGAACGAGAGGCCGCCCTTGACTCGATGGAGGGAGGAGTACAAGGAGGAGGCTGAGAAATGGATGGCGGAGCAGAAGGTGTAAATTAGGTGATAGTACAGCTTCATGCATCTGCATGTCATCTAATCATACCTCGCATAGACTATGCAGCACCAGTACCAGTCTCAACGCTACAAACCCACCCTCGACCTTCCTATGCCCAGCCCTCATCCCACCTCAAACCGACAAAATCTTATGTTTACCCATCTCCTCATCAAGCAATCCCTTAATCTTCTCATGATACTTGTCAATCCCACTCGGCCTGCTCATCGCCACCCAAAGATCCTCCGGCACATCCACCCCCTTCTCAAGCTCACACGTCAAAGTCCGTGTAAACAAAGTTAACCCACACCCAGCTTCCACAAACGTATACGTGATCCAACAATACCCGGCAACACCGCCGCTTCCATCCTCCCCCGCAGCGATGTTGTTGACCTGCCGAAAGGCGAATTTGCGACCGCGGTCGGCGATGTCAAGGACCTGAGATGGTGATGTACGATGTCAGTACATGTCTCACACGCAGTTTTGCATGGAAAGATTTACCCATTTTGGGTGGTAGGTGTTGTTTGGCAAAGCGACTTTTTCGGTCCAGACGTCGCCGACTTTGAGGGGGAGAGAAAGGTTTTGGCCCGGAGGCAGGCCGGAGCTGCCGGCGTAGGTGCGACCCCAATTGGCGGGATTGGAGACGAAGTCGTAGATTATTTCGGGGGGGTAGTTGAATATTGTTGAGGAGGTGCAGGTCATGACGCCCATGGTGAGGTGTTGTGGGGACTTTGAGATAGGTTGGGTTTGGGCTGATGGTAGCGTAAGAAGATGGGGGTCAGAAGCTGTATTCAGAAGAAGTGGAGAAGCGATAGCAGGACTTAGCATGAGAAGTTAAGCATCTCAAGTATGGTGATATGAAGGCACCTCTCCGGACCATCATGATTGGAACGTATGAGTACCGGCTATTCGACGCGTGCCGATCCGCTGACGTATGTCACAATGACTGATCCCCGCATTCGAGCTCGAGCTACGGGTAGGGTAGACTTGCTTTTGCGCTGCTCAGGAACTACGACCGAACAGGCGGGGCGAGCTCCGCACGCCGATCGTTCGCGTGCTGGTCATGCATCATAAACAGCGTCTCCAACCCTTACCAATATTGTTCGCGCAAAGCCTGGACTCGCGCATCGATGTGGGAGGTAACTGCTGGAACTGTACTATGTCCTGTACTTTTTGAGGGTACTTCGTAACCAAAATAGTTTGCATTGCAATGGTATCATGTCTATGCCTCCTTGATCAACTTGCGCGTCGCACTCTCCATCCAGAGCTTAGTGTACAGCCTATGCAGCCATTGAATATGCCCAGGTTGCGGTCCAGCGTCCTTGCCCTCTGGCGTCGTATCTACAAAGACCGACTTCAGGTGGAAGGTAGCCATCTGCGCCGCATCGTCTTTCGAGACCTCCATAGAGAAGAGACCGTCAGAGGGCCGGGGCTCGGAAACGTGTGGTGAGTCGCCGCATCGCACAATAACCTGTGAAGAAACCTGAGTCAGCTAGCATTCTTTCTAATAGAAGGTACGATCTCACCTTATCATCCTTATGCTCCACAACCTCAAAATGATCCACAATCTTCGTCCCAACCCCATACTCGCTCTTCGCCAACTCCTTCACATCCCAAAGATGGCTATCCCTGCCCTCCACATTCCGATACCACTTCTCCAACAACCGTCTCTGCACCCTAAACGCCACGCCGCTCCAAACCCCCCTACAAAAGTCCGTCGTCAAAGCCGGCTGATCAACCGATATCCTGCCTCCATCGCCCTTGACCCAGTACTTCTCCGGCAGCTTCCCATACGGAATCTGCTTTACCGCATGGTCTATGCAGCCAGGCGGATTGCCATTCGGGTTATGTGCGCGGAAGACGGAGGTGGTGAGGTCGGGGGATGAGGCGTCGTAGGGCACGAATTTTGTGTTGCGCGTGTAGAAGGAGGAGACGCTGTAGGCGAGGAGGACGTTGGCGGAGAGGCCGCCGGTTATGCCGACGAGGACGCCGAGGAAGCGCTTCGGGCCTGAGATGCGTTTTATTGTTGGGGGTTTCGAGATTGTGTTCATCGTGGCGGTCGATGTTGCGCGATGATGTAGTGAAGGAATTGGGGTCAGCGGCCTGCGTGGAGTGGAGGGAGAGGGACGGCGCTCGCAGCGGGATTGTCGCGTGGGGTGGTCGGAATGTTCTGGTGTTGAGGAGCTTGGACCCTCGGTGGGTTTTGGATGCCGAGGGTGCGTCGGCGAATGCTCTTCGCTCAGACACCGACAACTTCATCTGACCAGCTCATCACCGCAGTCGCCTCGAATTCATCTTCACAATTACATTACTGATACTAATAACAGGGCTATATGTCTACTCAGTGCAGGTGCGCAAGTGCGATACCAGAGTACGCGCTGTCCGTCTCGTAAATCTTCTTCTTCCTCCCTCCGTCCATGTCGAACCTGTACACAGTACCGCCCAGATCCGTCAAGTAGACATGACGGTTCACCTCGTCAATCTTCAATCCAATAGGCTCATGGAAATGTCTCGCTAGCGTCACAACACCCTTCTCCTCCTTCATCTCGGCGCCTACATACGCCTTGTTCAGCGTGTTGCCGAGTGGATACTCGCCACGGTCGGTCCAGTACAGCGTTTGGCTCTCAGCTTCGAACTCTAGATCAATAGGCTCGGGCAGGTGGTCGAAGAGCAGTTCGATGTCGGAGCGGGAGGACGCTGTCTCATTGGCAGGCATCTGCATATTCGCGCGGAAGATGCGGCCTTTGCCGCCCTTCGACGGGCCCTTCTGAGACCAGTAAAACTTCCCGCCCTGAGGATCGACTGCGATACCGACGCACCAGTTCGTCTGGTCTTCTCCGTCTGCTGAGCTGGAGTCGCCAGTCTGCACGATGATCTCGTGGTTGCTGCCGTCAAAGTTGCATCGGTGGACGCGTAGGCCTTCCCTGTCGCAGATGTACAGCTTCTTGTTTTCGTGGTCGATTTTGAGTTGTTTGGGCGTGTGGATCTGACCTTCCGGAATGATGGCTTGGACGTCGGTGCCATCGAGGTTCGCGGACATGACACTGCCGTTGTTCTTGGCGGGAGACGCGCCCATGTTCGTCCAGAAGATGCGACCAGCTGAGATGGATACGTCGATACCATCGGGCATGGCTTGACCGCCAACGATCTCGCGCACGTTACTTCCATCCGCTGAAGCAGTCATGATCTTGCCGGAGGTAGCCATCTTCTGCAAGTCGGTAACATTGCCTCCGATGCCAATGTCGAGGAAGTACAGTCTGGGCGCCGCGAGGTTGTCGTGATGGCCGCTCTCGTCCTTGGAGCTTCGCGTCGTCTCACCAGCGGGATACAGACCGCCTTTGCCAGACTTCGCGCCGAGCTTGCCCTTCTCGACGAAGTTCTTCTGAACCCAGTCTCGTGCTGTGGGGTCACCGCCGCGTTCTTCAACATAGTTGTTCTCGATGAACGCAACCGTGTCCAGTCCTACCGCATCCATCATTCCGCAAGGTCCTACCGGGTTATCCTTGAACATCGTCAAGAAGAGCCTGTCGATCTCCTCCGGCTCCGAAACGCCCTCCGCCATGATGAGCAGACTCTCCCTCTTAATAGCAGCCCATAACCGGTTGAAGATGAAACCAGTCGACTCCTTACGCGCGATAGCCGGTGTCATACCCGCATCATGAAGTTTGCTCTGCAGAAACGGCAGAATGTCTGCATGCGTCTCGCCGCACGTCATGAGCTCGACAACGTTGTTGCCAGGAGGCATGTAGTAATGCATATTGCAAACGCGATGCCGACTACCCGCGTCCACCTTATCGAGCATGAACCGCGACTTGTACGACGACGAGTTGGAAGCAAGGATACAATCCTTCGGTGCTTGTTGTTGAAGCTGTCCCATGATGTCGATCTTCAACGGAAGCTTCTCTGGCAACGCTTCAACCACCAACCACGCGTTCGTGACCGCCTCGGCGATGTCTTTGACGGTGTTGAATTGCGTTGGTTTCCGAGCGTTGCCGGTGAGTTTCGAGAATTCGTCCATGTGGTGTTCGATGTAGTGTGTCGCGGCGTTCCTCTGCTCGTCACTGAGATCGCACAACACGACCTCATAGCCGGCGGCGACCCATGAAGCAGCGATTCGTCGACCCAGGACTCCTCCGCCCAGAACGGCGACTGGTCGAGATGATGTGTCCGGTGCCGTCCATTGCGGTTGTGTGCTGCTGGATGCAGCTCGTGTTTGCGTGTTCGACATGATTGAGTATGACAAAGGTGTTGATCGAGTGTGGAAAGCTCTGTTGACACTCCTCACTCTTGGCTCCAGTGTAGTTATACGCGTGCTCAAACAGCGCGTCGTCGCATAGCTCGCAGAGGGCTCGGCCGAGACCCGCCGAACGCCTCTTGATAGTCGTCTTGCGCAAAGAGACATTTTTCGTTATTGTAGTGATGTGTTAGCTCAGACGGCAATCGATGCTGCTGGGTTATCGCTGATACCGCGACTCTCTCAAGCGCGTCTAGATGCATGTTGTATACCATTGGTTGACGCTAATGCAGCCTAGATGCGTGTAGGTGTTGCGTCACTGCCCAACAGCTCGGTAGACATCCGTGCAGTGCCGCTCCGGTGGCGACGTCATTCGTACGGTGCTTTTCTGTGTCGTGCGAGATGGGCCTTGGGGCGTGCGAGACGTTGGGCGGTGGTATGTCGGCCGAACTTCTTGCATGCGGCGCGAACTTGAGGTGTTGGTCAATGTGCGATTATGACGATTGTTGCGATGCACGCGTAGAGGTTGGAAAGAGAAGCAATTGTTGATGGTATAGTTTATTTTGAAGATGTTGACATTTGCGATAGATTATGAAAGGTGTGTATTGAACAAGGCCTAAATCAACACCCAGTCTAGCCCAACTACTCCGACAATACTGCTGCGACAACCGTCCCACAACCCCCATCTCCATAGCAGACTGAACAGAACAATCACTGGAAAGTGAAAATCTCATCCTGAGGCTTCGAGATTTTCCCTAAGCCCTCGTTA